TGCCCAGGGTTGAGCAAGTGGGGATCCAACCAAGATGCCTGAGCCTCAATCAGAACCTCAGTGTCCCAGGAAGCCAGGAAATGACAATGAACCATATTGTCATCCTCTGTGGCCTGGCTTGGGTTGATCTATTCTTCTGAATCTTCCTCCCTCCTTTTACCATCACTCACCACTGAGCATGTAAAGGAAGAAAAGAAGCTGAGATACTTGAGTTCCTACTATATGTCAAGCACTCTACATCCATATTTTCATGTAGTAAGTCAATCCTAACCACAATCTCAAGCAACAGCTGCCATTGTCCTTATTTTACAATCAAAGAAACTGTAGTTTAAAAAGATTACATGACTTGGGAGAAAACACTACACAGTAAGACAAAGACTTGAGATTCAAATTCAGTTTTCTTAGATTCCAAAGTCTGTGCTCTTTCCATTTACCGTTCTGAAGAAATTTATGACCAAGGCTGCTGGAAAAATTAAGGGCATTCGTTGGATGTGTACAGGTAGTATACAGCCATGAGAGCTCATTTATTCCCTTCTTCCCTTCATTGCTCCCACTGCTGACTGAGCTCTACCAATGTGTCAGACACTGCGCTGGACGACAGGGATAAAGAGATGGGTAAGATACAGCCCCTCCTCCTCAGACGTTCACAGTCTAATTAGAGGAGCACTCTAGGGAAAAAGGGAAAAGAGAACGACAGGAAAATGAGCAAGAGAGAAAGAAGGCAAACGATCCTAAAACATCAGAATGAGAGTCAAGGAAGACAACTACTCAAAACCTGGCTACATCACCAGGAAGATTATCAGAACTAAAGCCTTCTAAGCACCCAATTCTGTTGATCTGGAAGTGGGTCCAGGGATGTATACGTTTAACAATTATCCCAAGTTGATTTGATAGAATAGGCCAGGTGACTAAAACCACTGATCTAGACCTTTCACTTTGTGGGTATGAGAGCAGAGGGGCAGAAAGGGGAAGTGACGAGCTCAAGGACACACAGGAATCAATGCTTCAGACTCAGGCATCCAGCTCACAGTTAAATGACCTTTAGTAATTTTTTAAAAATTAGAATAATTTTATTTTAGACATTATATATACATTTATACTCACATGACATTTTATGTACATGGATTAGGTAGCTCTTGACAATGTTATATGTTTACTGAAAAATGACTTTTTATAAAAATAAAGCATAGAAAATAACAAATCAATTTAGAAGATTAAAATTATCCACGGATACACAGAATGGATATAGGTTTTCATAATCAATAACAGTATTGTTCACCTTGTCGTACCTCTGACCACCTCTTTCCTAGGCAGTCAGTATAGGGCAGAAAATTATAAATTAATCAAGGATAATGCTTCAAGGTACTGGTTCCTAGACTGTGACAGACATAAAAAAAGAGCAATAGATAAATAAGCATTTTAGTATTTGCTAAAGCCTTCCTCCACCCAGAATAGAGATGTCCTGGCCACTGAAAAAATGATGGGCCTCCTGTTGCCAACTTCTCTGCAATGATCTCAATCCCTTTACCTCACAAGAGCATCAGAAAGGTTCCCTGCCCTTTCAGCTTTAGATTCTTTTCATTGGCTACATGCAGAAGACACACATGGACCAGAGGTATAGAGAGGCTTTATGTCAAAGGTGTCCAATCTTTTGGCTTCCCTGAGCCATACTAGATGAAGAATTGGGCCACACATAAAGTACACTTAATGGCTGATGAGCTAAAAAAAAAATCACAAAAAAGTCTCATGTTTTAAGCAAGTTTACAAAGTTGTGTTGGGCTGCATTCAAAGCTGTTCTGGGCCACATGCAGCTTGCTGCCGGCAGGTTAGACAAGCTTGCTCTAAGTCAATGAGTAGAGGCCGGCTCTTCTATAGGTCCTGTGAGTTCACAGAGCAACTTCTCTGCAGCCGTGTCCAAGGGGTCCCCTCCTTTTGTTGTTTCACTGCGGTTTGCCTCTATAACTGCTTGTTCGAGAACTCTGTCGGCAAACTCTACATGTTCTTCTTCAACTTCTTCATTTTCAGGTTTTTTGGCAGTCTTGGCATAACAAAACTAAATTTTATTTACCTTCTGGGGCTCGGCTATCAAGGCCTACTCCCTCCTCTTCTACTCTCAGGCCATGGGCCCTGGGGCTGATAAGGAAGCCCAGAAGCAGTGGTTAGAGGTGTGAGTAGACGACTCGGTAGAGCTCACTGTTAGAAAAGCTAAGTGCAGAAAGGGTTCCAAAGAGGGGCATAGCAGTGGTGCTGAGTAGAGGCAGCCTTAACAAGACTGGGGTGTCTCAAGACTTGGGCTCAGCTGACCGGCCACTCCATCCTGGCTCTGCTCACTGATATACTAGGCAAGACACACCCTTCTTTTACCTCATTTTCCCCATTTGTAAGTGAAAAAATTGAATTAGCTTGTGTCCATGGTTCTCATCCAGATTCTAAAATTTGGGATTTCCATTTTTTTTCCTTTGGCATTGGATACAAATGACTAAGATTGATACTGTGACTCAATGTTTATAATCCATAACCACAGATTCTGAAATTTTAGAGCTAAAAGAAATTGACCAATATAATTCTCTCTTTTCTACTCACTTGATGATAAAGAAACTAAGGTCCAGAGAGGGCCCACTTCCAGCTCTATAAAATTGAGTGTTTAGAAATTTTTAATTCTGATAGCTGCCAGGTGATGCCACATGATTCCAGGTGACGTTAAATTCTGGGAGGGCAGAAACTATCTGTCTTGTCCTCCATTGTATGCCTGGCCAGACTTTGTTAAATGCTTATTGAGTGAATAAATGAACAAATAATTTCCCTCCAACGTCATGCAGCCTGGGACCAGGGGAAGTATCCTTACTCCTCACCTGGAGGTAGGGGCAGATAAGACTGAAGCCACAGACTGCTTCTGGCCCCTAAAGGGATGATGCTCTCCAGCTGGAGAGCCAGAACAGAGCCAGGAACACGCTCAAGGCTGATGGTGCCAGCAATGCTTGGCCACAAAGTGGGCTTCTACCAGAGTCCTCCGTGCTGTGCATAATGAATCACAATATATCAATTACCGCATTCTGTTAACAAGCTCATGTCCACCTGTGCATCACCAATGAGTGCCCTGCAATTTGCCACAGCTCTGCAGTTAATACATGGCAGAACAAGTGGGCCAGAGGATTCTGAAACACTCAGGCCCAGGGAAATCAGGTGGTTGGTTTGTTTTTGGCAACTACTGGGCTTCATGATTGGGCAGCAGTATGTGGAGATATATTCACTCCTCTCTGGGGAAAGGGTCTGTGTCCTGGGTAGTCTTTCCTGTCCTGACTCAGATAAGTTCAGATGGAGAAAGCCATCTTCGTATTTTTTTTCTCTGAAGTATTGAACAACATAGGGCAGAGGCAGAATGGTAGTTTAAAAATCACCTCCGGCATGGTTTGATGGTCTGGTCTTCTGGTCATCAGCACTGAAGTCTCACACAGGATTCAAAATATGGCTCCACCACACATAAACAGTGTGATCTTGAGTGTAACTCTTAATTTCTCTGCAACTCCATTTCTACATCAGCAAAACTGGAATAACACTTACCTCACAGAGATACTGCAAAGATCAAATGAGAGAATGCATATCAAACCCAGAATGGTGGCTGGCATGTAGCAGGTGTACAATAGATAAGCCTCCTACCATGTTAGAGGTGTTTTCTGAAGGGATTCTAATCTCCTAAGGAAGATTAGGGCCAAGAACTTAAGCAAACCCAGACAAGAGCCTCTAGATGTGTGTGTGTATTCCCCCCTAGTGGCTCCACAGTAATGATTACAACTGCAGTCATGTGAGGATGTCAGATCAGCCTTCCTCACCTCCACACTGGCTGAGTGAGAAGCGAGCAAGCCTCTTGGTGAGAGGGGAGGCTGTTCCTTTCTCAGGCAGCACCGCTGCAGCCCCTGACCTACTTTCTTACTAAAAATAGCTCTTCTTAGGTCACTGCTGCAAATTGAATTCCACTGCTTCACTGCACCCTGTAAGCAGGTGGGTGGGCGCCAGAGCACATTTGGTGAGCTGCAAGTTTCTGCTTATGTGGTTCTTGCTACCCACCAAGGATGCTAATTCCACATGCCTCAGCAGAGCATGTCCGCACTCAGCAGGGCTGTATGTGACCCTGCTGGGGTTCCTTTATTTGGTGGGACATGAGCAGGGAGGGGCAGTGAGGGAAATTCTAGATTCAGTTTTGAAGTCTGTCAGACTGAATTGAAATATGGGATCCATGCTTTCTTATTTGACCTTGGGAAAGTCACGACTTTTCTTTGCTTCTGTTTTCTCATCTGTAAAATGGAGATAATAAAACTGACTTTACAGCATGATCGTACAGGTATTTAAAAATGCTACTTATAAAGTAGTCCTTGGCACAGAACAGGAGCCCAATTATGAAGCTAGTACAGGTATTCTTCATTGGCCCATTGCTCCACATGCCCTGTAGCTGAAGCCTCTCATAGCAGGAGTAGCAAGGGACAGGAGGCCAATCCAAGAACTAGAAAGATTTTACGCTAAAGGGCTTTCGGGGTACTGAGGTCAATGGTTCTCAGACATGGCTGAGCATCTCAATAACTATGGTAGCTTGTTAATAATACCGATTCCAGGTCCTTACCCTGGAGACTGGGACTGAGGAAGTCTGTCTAGGGGCTAGCGAATCTGCATTTTAATAAGCTCTCCAGGTGATTCTGATGCACTGACAGGTTTGAGAACCTCTGAGCTAGGCCACTCACCTCATTAAGGTAAATAGGTAAACGAATTACTATTATTTATCTTCCATTATAAGCATAATGCATAGTCATTATAAAATATGCAGAAAACATGGAAAAGCAAAAAATAAAAGTAAAAACTAAAAGTTCAATCATATATTGAGTGCTTTTTAAATGCCAGGCCCTTTTGCTGAGTCCTGGAGATTTGTTGATAATGCAATTCTGACCCTCAAGGAAAGCCTGGTCTGTGTGCAGAGATAGAAACAGACAAGACTATAACACAACAATGCATTAGTGTCAAGTTACAAATTTTATAGAGAGAAGGATGAAGGACCAACTGATTCTACCTAGGAGTCAGGGAAATCTGCAGAGTTGGACTAGAAAAAGAGCAGACATTCATGGCTAGACAAGGGAGGAAAGGGCATTTCAGGAGGAAAGAACCAGACATACAGAAGCATGTCTGTATACAAAAGCATACAGGGGTAAAAGGTGTCTGTTAGGAAAATGTCCTAAGGTCACTATAGTGAGGTCACCATATACAGTAAATAGTGGTGGCACAAAGACAGCTGGGGTGAACATCTGGGTCTGGATCACGAAGGGTATGGATAACATTAAAATGCTTCCTCACTGGGAAGTATATTACTCAGTATATTTTTCATATATGGCTTTTTGTTTTCATTTTTACATCCAATGCTGTAATTCTTACTTAATAAACACTACAAATTAGTCAAGCAGATACGTCATCTTTTATCCGGTCCCAAATGTTAGTAAAATTAGGTAGCTCCTAATTTTACTAAATTAGAAAAATACTATGATGAACATCTTTAACCATAAAGCTTTTCCCATATTTAAGATCCTTCCTCAGAGGAGAATTCCAGCATATGAATTAACAAATAAAAGTGAATGGATATCTTCAAGGCTCTTGATAGTATGCCAAAGGATTTTCCAAAAGTGGCCCAAATGTTTTTATAAATGAGGAGACAAGGCCCAGAGAGGCTCCATGTCTTGTCCAGATCATATGGTTGAATAGGGGTGGTACCAAGAGCAACATCTGGGTCTCCCAGCTCCCAGTCTAGCTCTCTTTCTTCTGACCACATTGCTTTCCTACAAATCAAAGAGAGATGAAATAATATCTATTCAGCCAATGCTTCTAATCAATTTCTAAGTATTTTAGATTAGCAATGTACATGTATAGGAAAAGAGAGTAACATGTGCGTGCTTACATGCACACATGAAGCTCTATACATGAGTCATTTTTCCATCCTTATCATGTATGCTCCCCTACCAATGACAATTTTTGTTCTAGCCAAGCTGAGCAAATCTGATGTTGTCTTACCTCCACACCTTTGATTTGATCCTACATGAAATATATCTCTTGTTCTCCTAGTCAAATTCTATGCATATTTTTTAAATCCAGAAAGCATTCCCAGACTGTAGGCACTTATCAACAACAGTCATGTGTGATATTTATTTTATTGCTTTGCAGCAGCTCTTGTATTAACATAAAATTATTTAAGTTTTACCTATAGAATAAAAGCTGTCTCAGGCTTCTGTTAATAGAAAGGGAAAAAACAACCCCCTAATCCCACACTTGAAGCTAATGGGAATACTTCCAGAGTTTGATGGGCTGAAGAAAGGTCAGTCCAATCCCTTGTACCTTCTATATCTTCAGTAGTAGACATCTTGGTAGACTGGGAAGGGCATGGGACTAGGAGACATAATAATAGCTTCCATATGCTGAGGACCTACTCTGACCAGGCACAATGCTAGATGCTTTATATACATTACTTAGAATTCTTAAAATTACTCCCAGCAAGGGAAATATCATTAGATCCATTTTACAGATGAGGAAACTTAGGACCTGAGAGATTAATTTATTCAAGGTCAAAATCATCAGTAAGTGGCAAAATCAGGATTTAAACTCAAGTATGTCTGACTCAAAAATCTATGTTTTTTCTCCTTTACTATATTATGTCTCAGCAAATGCCATTTCAGTTCTAGTTCTATTACCTTCAAGATACATGATCTTCTCCTGGTGTTGTTGTTGTTGTTGTTGTTGTTGTTGCCATAACAGAATACCACAGGCTGGATAATTTATAAAGAAGTTGATTTGGCTCATAGTTCTGGAAGGTGGGAAGTCCAAGAGCATGGTGGAGGTATCTAGTGAGGGTCATCCCAGGGTGGACAGGTGGAGGGAGAAGAGAGCACATGCGAGAAAGAGCTTGTATTTTTAACAAAGCCACTCCTGCAATAACCTACTCCCGCAATAATGACATGAATCCATTCATAAGATTGGAGCCGCCATGAACCAATCACCTTCCAAAGGCCCCACCTCCCAGGATTGTTACACTCGGGATCAAGTTTCTAACACATGCACTTTTGAGAAGCATATTTAAATCATAGCAGATGCCCAACATGACATTCATGCTCTCCAAATCCTGCCTCCTCCCTAATAAGAGGAGGATAATCATCTTCCCATCCTGCCCTTTACTCCCAACACACACATGCACATATGTTATAATGGGTGTAAAAGACCAAGACAGACATATGGGTTGTTATTAGAGTCCTGAACATCGCAACTGATCATTCTGGTGATAAATGGACATCCTGCCAAGATCCTCTGTCACCTTAAAGAGAATTTAATTATGCTCACTATACAGCTCCTTCTAGCATCGAGTGAATAGTTGCAATGCCTTTTGTAATGACTTTCAATAAGGCCTGAAACCAAGAGGTTAATACTCAGAAAAATCCATTAACCAAAATACTGCATTCTTGGAGTACTCTGGTAATCGTGGTTCCCTGGGATATTTTCCCACTCAATCACATATATGTATGCATTTCTATACACACTTGTACACATCTTTCACTGGCAGCCTGTTTCTAGAAAGCAGATTCAGCAGAGGGGAAGCTGGGCTTGGATTCCACCACCAGGGTGGAAATTGTATATGGGCTGGCGGGGGGGCATTTATTCCAGTTTTCCAGAGGCTTCTGGTGAAATGTCAGGAGATCTGGCTGAGGTGTCAGGAGACCTGGGTTGTAGTTTACATTCTGCTGCTTACTTACTGTATAACATTGGACAACATGCTTGACTCTCAGCCTTGATGTCCTTCTACATAAAATAGGGATGATACTACCTTAAATAAATTAGCTAACTTTCCTAGGGCAACATTTTCTCTCCTGAGAAACTGTCACAATTACTATGTATATATCCATACTGTGTGCTGGCCCTGTGCTGAGGGCTTTCTACACATTCTGTCACTCCTCCTTACAGTCCTGTGAGATGGGTACTATTATCTCCAGTTGATAGAAGAAGAAACCTATGCTCAGAGGAGTTCAATAATTTGTCCCAGGTCACACAGCTGTTAAGTTACAGAGTTAGGATTCAAACCTTGGTCTCCCTAATTTGAAATCCAGTGCCCTAAACCATGAAACCATATTCCTACTTACCAGAGAGCTGCTGCAAGGAAGAAATGAACACACACTAATTATTATGTGTCTCCTGTGTATCTAGCAGTTTGCATCCCTCTTCTGTAAGACACATGAGTACAAGGATGCTGTATGGAGCCCATGCACATGAGGCTGCTCTGTGACTATCCCTGTGTAGGGATATGTGCATCTTGAGAAGGGAAGGAAGAGACAGGACTTGATAGAAAAGTATTTACTGCTGTGCTCCCCAAATTCATGAAGTCAGCCATACTAGAAACATGGGCGAGGGGTTATGGATGAAATTTCTCCAAAGTTTTAGAAGTTGGAGAGTTGAAGCCTGGAGTAGCAGTGACAGAATCTTGCTGAAGACAAGAGTAAAACACTTGCATTTACGCATTATCACAGATTTTTAAGTTGATGTATCCAAGGTGACTGTGTTGGACACTAATAAGGAAAAAGATATGACTGAAATGGCAGAAATACTCGCCTCAGAGAAGGTGGACAACCCCACCCCCACCACTGCTTACACAGAAAGGATAAAGGGACACGAGGAAGAACCCACATTTTGAAACTTTAGGCTGGATTGAACTAAAAATAGAGCTGTGATTCAAATGTCTATTACTGAGTTCTCTGCCTGTGCACTCTGGAAACCAGGTTGTTTCACTCCCCATCAAATCTACCTCCCCAAGGCGCTCATTCCCACAGCTTGGAGACACAGCAAAGTAAAAACTGTTGAGAGTCTAATGAGCGTGTGGTACCATGCTGGGCCCTTTATACCCATGATCTCATCTGAGCTGCACAACAACCTTGGGAAGCATCTACAGAGGAGGAAACTGAGGCCCAGTTAGGTGAGATGACTTGTCTAAGGTCATTCAGTTACTAAGTGGCAATACTGGGAATTGAATGAACTCAGGTCAGTCTGAGTTCAGAACCCATGCTCTTTCAAACAGAAATCCTTGCTACATTTCAAAGAGACTGAGCTTCATTTTAAGCTTAGTGAGTGATAAAAGCAACACTGCTCCCTAATTTACCTTCTGGCTCTGGGAAGGACCCAGCAAGGCAGCCATTTGAATGATTCATTCCTGTGACTGACAAGGAAACTTCTCTTGGTTATAGCTTCAGCAGCTGCTAAATCTGCTACACGCCACCCCACCCCACCCCCTCCATTTGGCTCAGGTAGGTGGAATTATTTATGTAAGAATTTCAGTGGCCTCCTGCCTTAAGCATGATTATCATAGACTTTTAAGTGATAAAAATGTCACAAATCATAATAAAGGACAAAAGGAGTCAGGGTCAAGGAAGGTAATAGGAAAGAAGATATTCTGAAAAGCAAAGTACTAATTATAGATGCAACAGGGTAACTTTCAACATTTACAAAAAAACACTTTCCTAGCAATTTATTCATCTGATCCTCATAACACCCTGGTAGATGTTACTATCTCCATTTTACAGATGAAGAATGTGAGGGTCAGATCTGAGGTTCAAGGTCAGACCGAGGGTGAAATAAGAACTTAGGTCTCCTAATTCTCGCTCAGTGCTTCCCACAACCCACTCACCCAATAAAGCGAAGACAGAAATCTATGAGAACTATCAGAGAAAGAACCCTGTAGTCTTGCTGCCCTGCATGACAGGACCAGGGAAGGGAAAGTGGCTGTGACAGTATCAGAGAGAAGTAGCATGGAGTCTGGAACTGTGGGCTTAGAAACATTTTTCAAGTCCCACCTTAGATATATTAAATAATTGTGTGACCCTAGGAAAATCACTTAATCTCTCTGCCCTGATTTCCTAACTTGTAAAACAAGGCAAACAATAGTACCCACTTCACACGGTTGTTGTGATGATTAAATAGAAAAACAAAGCACCATACATGAATAGTGCTTGGCACCAAGGCAAACAATCAGTAAGTGTTAGCTGTCACTGCTTTCATCATTATCATCATGAAATGGCACATGGGAAATGTTAAGTGTATGTTCATTTCCTCTCCTTCCCCCTGCTCCTGTATCTCCCAAGGCACCACACCCCCATCTGTTATCTATAGACCTGCTGAGAGGAGGTCTAGGGTCAAGGAAGAGCACACAGTGCTTCTTCCCAGGCAACCTGACTGAGCTGGCCTTGTTTACTGGGGCAGTAAGCTGCTACACAAAGTCATTAATCACACTTGGTGCTATGTGCTTTCAGGTCACTCCACAGAAATTAATGACTCCATCTGGCTTTTCCTCAGAGAGACAGAGCCTTCCTATGTATTCATGTATGGGGTGTCTACTGAGGATTCAACCTTTGCAATAGCTTATTGGAATCTGGAAAGTCGACCAAGATGAGTTGGTCCCTGCAAAGAGGGACCAGGAAGCCAGGCGTAGTGGCTCATGACTGTAATTCCAGCACTTTGGGAGGCCGAAGCAGGTGGATCACCTGAGGTCAGGAATTTGAGACCAGCCTGGCCAACATGGTAAAATCCATCCCTACTTAAAAAATATATATATATATACAAAATTTAGCTGATCACAGTGGCACACACCTGTAGTCCCAGCTACTGGGGAGGCTGAGGCAGGAGAATCACTTGAGCCGAGATTATACCACTGCATTCCAGCCTGGATGACAGAGTGAGACTCCATCTCAAAAAAAAAAAAAAAGAAAAGAAAAGAAAAAGGACCAGGAAAGCAGTCTTTGCCCTGGGCTAA